TATTATTTTTAAAATTTTTCTTATTATCATTTTATTATAACTGAGGCTCGAACCCGGATCTTCCACTTCGGAGATGAGCGTACTAATCTAGAAAATACTCGGGATGACCTAGAAAATATTAGGGATGAGCTAGCAATAATATAGGGATAATCTAGAATATACTGGGGAAGAGCTAAAAATTAATGGGGAATATTCTGGATGAACTAGAAAATATTAGGGAAGAGATAAAGATAATACAGGGATAATCTAGCAAATACCGGGGATTAGTTAAAAATTAATGGGGAATATTCTGGGTGACCTAGAAAATATTACGGATGCGCTAAAAAATACTGGGGATGACCTATAAAATATTAGGGATGAGCGAGAATTAATACAGGGACAATCTAGAAAATACCGGGGATCAGCTAAAAAATAATGGAGAATATTCTGGATGACCTAGAAAATGTTCCTGCTGCGTGGACAGGAGGGGGTGAAAAAAATCTGTGTCCGAACCGAGGCTCGAACCCGGACTTTCCACTTCGGAGACAAGTGCAGATTATCATTTTTATTATTATTTTTAATATTATTAGGCCAAAGGGCTAGAACCTATAGATGGACGCTGGATCAGTAAAGTAATAAAATATTATTATCATTATTATTATTATTATTATTATTATATTTTAATATTTTTATTATCATATTTACTATTAGTATTGTTACAATCATTATTATTATAATTCTTATCATTATTATTATTATCTTTTTTTTATTTTATTATTATCATTATACCATAACCGAGGCTCGAACCCGCATGTTCCGCTTCGGAGACGAGCGTACTAATCTAGAAAATACTCGGGATGGGCTAAAAAATATTAGGGATGACCTAAAAAAATACTGGGGATGACCTAGAAAATATTAGGGATGAGCTAGAAATAATATAAGGATAATCTAGAAAATACTGGGGATCTGCTAAAAAATACAGGGGATGGCTTAGAAAATATTAGGGAAGAGCAAGAAAAAATATATGGATAATCTAGAAAATACTGGGGATCAGCTAGAAAATATTAGGGATGAGCTAGAATTAATACAGGGATATCTAGAAAATACCCGGGATCAGCTAAAAAATAATGGGAATATTCTGGATGACCTAGAAAATATTAGGGAAGAGCTAGAAATAATACAAGGATACTATAGCAAATACCGAAGATTACTTAAAAAATAAGGAGGAATATTCTGGAAGACCTGGAAAATATTAGGGATGAGCTAAAAAATACTGGGGATGAGCTAGAAATAATATAAGGATAATCTAGAAAATACTGGGGAAGAGCTAAAAAATAATGGGGAATATTCTGGATGACCTAAAATATTACGGATGAGCTAAAAAATACTGGCTATGACTTAGAAAATATTAGGGATGAGCTAGAAATACTATAAGGATAATCTAAAAATACTGGGGATCTGCTAGAAAATATTAGGGAATAGCTAAAAAATACTGGGATGACCTAGAAAATATTAGGGATGAGCGAGAATTAATACAGGGATAGTCTAGAAAATACCGGAGATTAGCTAAAAAATGATGGAGGAATATTCTGGATGACCTAGGAAATATTAGGGATGAGCTAAAAAAATACTGGGGATGACCTAGAAAATATTAGGGGTGACCTAGAAATAATATAAGGATAATCTAGAAAATACTGGGGATCAGCTAAAAAATATTGGGGAATATTCTGGATGACCTAGAAAACATTAGGCATGAGCTAGAATTAATACAGGGATAATCTAGAAAATAATGGATTTTCTAGATGACCTAGAAAATATTAGGGATGAGCTGAAAAAAAAATCCTGGGGATGACCTAGAAAATATTAGGAATGAGCTAGAATTAATACAGGGACAATCTAGAAAATACCGGGGATTAGCTAAAAAAAATAATGGGGAATATTGTGGATGACCTAGAAAATATTACGGATGAGCTAAAAAATACTGGGGATGACCTAGAAAATATTAGGGATGAGCTAGAAATAATATAAGGATAATCTAGAAAATAATGGGGAATATTCTTGATGAGCTTGAAAATATTAGGGATGAGTTTAAAAAATAATGGGGAATATTCTGAATGAGCAAGAAAATACTAGGGATGAGCTAGAATTAAAACAGGGATACTCTAGAAAATACAAGGGATTAGTTTAAAAAATAATGGGGAATATTCTGAAAAAAAAATCTGTGTCCAAACCGAGGCTCGAACCCGGACTTTCCGCTTCGGAAACAAGTGCAGATTATCATTTTTATTATTATTTTTAATATTATTAGGCCAAAAGACTAGAATCTAGACAAACGTTGGATCAGTAAAGTAGT